AAGGACAGACACAGTGTGATAACAAGATTATGTAAGTTTAGGATTTCAGTAACAATTTGTCGAAAAAGTAGTTCGCTACACAATTTTCTTTCGTGAAAGTTGTATTCTTTCCAACTGTTCATAATGACGTCATCACTGTTTTCAAAAACATCTTCCTCCTCCCTCATTTTTGTCATCTGTAACCTACGTCATTCTGATATAAAACTGGGATATAAACTTTTTAAGCTGACTAAATGAACGTAGTGAACTGTCGCCTTATTGCTTTTCTCCAGAGCCCACATTAGGAATGGCATATTATTGTTACTCATGTATTATATTACCGAGGAAAGTAATACTGAAAAGTATTCCTATTCCCAGCAACAGTAATACTGGAAGTGTTACTGCTGCTGGGAATGGGAATAGTCATTAAATTAGTATTACTTTCTGGTAAAGTAACACAAAAATTTTTTTTAAAAGAATATTCAAAAGATTTCGTAACGTATACCTGGATGAATATTTCTACCAGAAAACTTTGAAAAATCAGACGAACATTTTAATACTTCAACGTATTTTAGTATTCATTTTCGTTCTGACAAACGAATGAATGAAATGTTTCATAAATTTGAACCATTTATTATTATTTTCAGCTAATTTTGGTAATGCCCGGCGCTCACCAAGAATCACTCAAATGTGACATGACTTCAGAAGAGGTACTGCGTTATTGGCCATGTAGCTGACATTACGCACTGTGTGACCAAATGTAAAACCGATATAGAGATAGAAAAGTGTGGGTGTGTGTCAAATTTGAGATATTATCCATTTGACGATTTTTATGTTCTAATTGGCATAAGAAGCGAGCGTTATCCTTCTGAGACTACTGAATATGAACCTTGCCTTTTTTTCTCGCTAGTGAACCGCTAGGTGGAGGGTGGTTATAACTTTGTTGTCAAACATCAAGTTATGAATGTTCGGCAACCAATGAACAATCAGCGAGAAGCCTATCATAAACAATCACGATCTATCCATGTGTCATGATAGGACATGACTGTAATGAATTTATGATTGTGTATGATATTTTTATGAAAAGTTTTGACTTGACATTTGACAAAATAGTTATGACCACTCTGGCTAGGTGAACTAATAAAATATAATTCAACTGACGTTCTATAACGGGACAAGTTTGAATTACATTAAGTTGATACACGGCACTTCCGATAAAAGATGAAAATCTTCATGAAACAGTTTTCGAACGTTGGAAACTTGCTGAGCAAGAATTCGACAATCCGTTAAACTGTAGTCTGCTCCTTCTTCCTCAAATGCGGACGTACTTAAATTGCGAGACCTATTGCCTTAGCTAATGCTGAATGTAAGAAAACAACATGATCAATTTGTGGAATTATGCGAACTTTTGTTGCTGTGTTGAATAATGCCAAGAGATTATTGACATCAAGGAGACTGACTGTGGTTGTGACATCTTGAGGATTTTGAAATGCGATGACTGCTCGTACTTTTCCATCAACTGTTGGCGGATGAACTTGAATATCCGGTGGACACTGCAATTGATTTGTGGAGAACAACGACTTAAGTTGACTCATCTGTATTTGGTGATTGAAATTTTCTTCTTCCTGGATGATAAAATCTTTCTGGAACTCTTCCTCGTCATTATTTTCGTCTATCTGATCCGCTTTTTCATTCAATTGCTTTCGATAAACAATCATCGATGTCACATTATCAAACAATTTTCGTGCCTTTAGCATTTTTTCTAGTTCAACTTCATCGATTTCAGGCTCAAGGTTTGACACTTTCAGGATGTGTTCATCATTTGTCATAGATTTCTTCGGCTTTTGTTCACTTAAATACACTTTTCCCAAACCAATCAGTCCCGGTTTCTCGTTTAATTCGTCAATAGCTGACTTCATATCCATTGGATTTTTGAATTGTAGAAGAGCTTCAACTTTCCCCTGACGTGACTGAATGAAAATTGTTTCGTCTTGAAACGATTCATAGTGATTGAACAGCGCTCGTATTTGATCTTTTGCTGTGAGTGAAATATTGTGTAATTGACCATTTTTCTTCCGATGAACGGTAATGTCTAATAAACCAGGACATTCTCGAAACGTATTGCGAATGTCTTCGTCGTCAATAGTGTCCGCCAAACCTGAGACAAACATAGACTTCTCTTCATACTTTGACCGAACACATTTGTGACCTTGGTTGGTCATTGTGTCTATGGCATGTGACGCCTGATCTCTCGTTTCAAATTTAAGTATTGCAGTTCCGCTGCATGGTTGGATATAGTACACCACTTTTAGAGTTGGAAGACTAGAGACAAATTGATATTGACATTTGTACGGTAGATCTTGAAGAGATCCTTGAGCATACAAGGCACTTTGTTCATCCGAAAAGTAGATTTTTCCGCTGCATTTCGATTCTGTCAGATACCAGACAAGTTTCAACTGACAGTTTTGTTTGCTGCTGTGTGCAGATGTTTTTAGATAGGCGGGGCTAGCAGTGATGGTACGACCGCCTATGATGTATCCGCCAAGTTTATCAATCGATGCTCGAGCATCCTTAACCATGTAGAAGACGATCACAACACTTGTACCGTCGTTACTTTGTGCAATGATATTTATATTACGAACTAAACAAGAAACACATTTTATGCCTTTAGTTGTGAAGAGTCATTGCTACTTTACTTTTCCCAGTATTCAAACGTTCACATAGTGCTTTGACATCGTTCTCCGTAGTTGTAGAAGGCAATTTCGATATAACTACCTTGACAAATTCATCTTTGATCAGAATCAATTCGATTTTGCCCCCAGTACCCATCAGCAGCCGTGTGGTGCCGACCATTTGAATTTCTTCAACTTCGGTGATCAGTTTTTCTCGTTCTTGATTGATTACTTGTTCAATGTATTGCTGAGCCTGTGGTAATTTTGTTCTCTCAGCCCAAACAGTCAACTTCAATCGATTATAATCGGCTTCAATCAAACCCTGAATGTTTTCTTCAAGCTTCGATAGTTTACAACCTCGTTTTCCAACAACAGCTATGAGTAGAACAACACCGATATTGTCAAACGTGTAATTTTCATAGTGTAGATTTTGAAGATGAGCAATATTCATGTGCTGATACCAATACTGAGAGACAGTTTTTAACCAATTGATGTCGATTGAACTCATTATCGTTATTATATTTCGTCCGTTGATATGGATTAGTTCGTCGAATACAACGAATTTCGGTGCTTGATCTTGCTCAAATGTCAACTCGGATGTGAATGATACCCTAGCGATCGTCGTTAGAGCACTATTTGATGCCTGTGATGTTAATCGGTAGCCGGCTTTTATGGGTCCGTTTGAGACGCCCAAATTCTGAAAGTATCCAGTGCAAACACAGTGCAAGAGTTTAGCAGAGATTTCAACCGTCAGATCAGCATTTTGTACTGCTTCAATGTTGAATAAACTTGACGTTTCACGAATAAAATCACTCGCTCTCTTCATTGCTTTTGCATTCAAATAATTCTCGTTACACCATTCAAGTTGTTCAACGTCGTCAACTGCATTCCATTTCAGATAGACATTGACAAGTGTCAAATGATCGCTCAGTTTATGGATGAACTTTGCT